GTCTGTTTAAGAATCATACAGACTTAATAATAAGCTTCTTTTTTGACAAATGTAGTGTTTTCTTCTCCCTGACACTTGGCCTTTGTTTTAGTAGCTCTTTGGTTGTTTTAACTGTGTACTTTTCTAATGCAGAGAGTAAAGACTCTGAAAATATAACATCTCATTCAGGTTACAACCTAAATAATTACTTAAACTTTAAAAATAACAATTTTTTTTTTTATTCCCAGAAATCATCAAAATATGGAGATGTAGGCCTATTGTGTATATTTCTTGAATTTTCTTACACCCTTTAAAATCAAGAAGGCCTCGCAACATTCTATGAAGCTTTGAAAACTCGTAGTAGGGGCCCTGACCTCCAGGTTGGGAAACACTGCCATAAGGGACTCATGCTTGTATGATCCAGCTCAAAAAAAAAGCAGATCACCTCACCAGGCATATCACTGGCTTTGATTTAAATTATCTGCAGACCTCTGGTGTACTTTTGAACGTGGCCCAGTCTATGGCATCTGACCTCCAATTCTGAGCTCTGTTAACTCATCCCTGCTGGAGGTCAGTATGAACACACTTCTCACACGCTGACTTTGATTCAGTCGTGATGTGAAGTGGATCTCAGATTACAGAGGAAAATCCTACCTTTCTTTACTGAACTGATCTGTCAAGGCTTTGGATAATAAAGTGTGCTTCATTGTGTAGATTGTATCTGATTTACTGAACAAAACTAGACTAACACCATAAGAATGTATAGTATTTTGGGGTGTTTTTTCATATATTGCTTGTTTAGAGTTTCAGAATTTAGTAACTTTGCTTATTAAAAGTCTCCTCATCTGCGATTGCAACTTAAATTACACTGATCACAGATTAATTATACTGGAATTATTGGTTTATTGGATTAAATAATATCTATTTATCTAGTCCATTTGCCTGATATAAATTTTTGTTGCGTACCCAACCTTTTTGGTTTGGTTCAATCAAAGTCTGTTGCATTTGCCAATTTAGTTTGGTTCTTTTGGGCTGCTGTGAGAAAACTGTCAATCAAACCCTGACTGGCCCAAGACCTGATGAAAAGGAGGGTCAGAATCCCAAGCGGACTCTGGTGCAGTTTTTTTGTGGTGTGAAAGCAAAACCAGAGGATTTTGTAGTAGTAGATATGTTATTTTAGCGGGAATTTAAGAGATAAACTACGAATAAACCCATCTGCTTGTCATACACTGGCTTGTTTGTGAAAAGTCAGGGTGAACATAAACCGTAGCTAAAAGGCATTGATGTAACTTTTTATCTTGGTCCAGTATACTTTGAGCTGTATTGTGTTTAAAAATGTAGAATTAAAATCAATTACTTGCTGATACTCAGAAAACCTAAGAGCTGAGTAAAAAGTTAGAAAACACTGTATAAAGTTCCTAAGCAGATTATCCTCATATACATTATATATTTCTATTTGGACACATACGTATGCCTGTGTTGGATTATGGCTGAAGGGAGGCAGCTTTAAAAAAGATAGAAAATTGCGACTGCTCAGTGTTATTCTCCCGTATTCGCACCTCCTTCTGCGGAGCGCTCACCGTCACAGTTAGTATTAATACTTTCCTCATCAGACACGGTTGGAGTGAGGTAAGGCCAGTCCATCTCCACCCTATTTATTTGCTTATGCTCCAATGGAAATAAGTGTGTTGGTGGAATCAACACATGCATTTTCCTCAAACTGGCCAGTGAACAGTTTGTTCCTAGTGGTAACGTCTTCACAGGCAAGGAAAGCAACTTCCAGAAAGACCAGATTGAATACTCCAGTTATGTGGAGGGGAGTCTCATGCTTTTATTTCAAAATAGAATAAACACTGAATGTGTGTTCATAATTTTATAGAGCCTAAAGACACATTTCCTATGCTTTTCATAAGTTCCACAAACTGTAAGGAACTTCACAATATTACAGCCACACCCAGAACATCCTCTAGATGCTGAAGAAAAATGTCCATTAGCTCTACTTTTTATGTTTAAAGTGATAAAAAGTTGAGTGATTATGTCGTCTGTCTGTCGCATACCTGTCCGTTATGAAAGCTGGCTGTTATTAATGACAGAAACAAGAGTCAGGGAAGCTTTTAAAAGCATCACAGGAAACAATCTGCACTTTCATCCACCCACATGAAGTCACCTTGGTGGCATGCATCACAGAATCTCTTTGCCGCAGATGTCAGCTCTGCCCTTCCTTGACATCTTAGGCAATTGTTAAAAGCTGTGAGCGTGACATTAACATCACCCAACAATATGATTATTAGTCCTTGTCGCACTGCGACTGTGAAAGGTTTTAATTTGGAAGGGTCTGTGTTGGGTTAGAGCTCACTCAAAGGGAATATATGTAAGACATGTTTCATAAATGACGAGGGAATGTTTGGTTGTAGTCGATCAGCCCCACTTTTTGCTTTGATGTTAACTCACAACATATATGAATGCACCAAGAACTGATTGTTGTTACCGGAGGAGAAATGGAGTCATCAATTTTAGAAGCAGCATAATCGTTCATAATTTTGGGACAGTTTTGCTGCTTATCTGATCTTCATGTTCTCTCAGGACATTCAACAGCTTGTAACCCAATGAATTTTACAGCAGTGGTTGCCTAGCAGCACCATAACAGTGCAACACTTTGGGAAATACTGGTGGTGTGAGTAATGACCTACAGACAACAGAACATGGATGCAATGGGCCAGTGTTATAAATACTTTCATATGGTGCAATTTGGAGTCTCTTTTTTTGCATTTGATGATTTAAGAAACAGTATAAATGCAGATAGTGCAGTATGGTGGAGGAGGTTTCTTTGCCTGATAATCAAACTGCTGTTCGAGTGCAGCTTTCAACTTTGATTCACACAGATATAAGTGAGTTATATCACACAGCATGCTGACCTCTGGAAACAAAGTCTGTTTTAGCTCACTGACAGAAAAATGTGGCAGCAATCCTCCCTTTATTTGGCCTGGACATAGGCATTTCTAAGAGTTCAACTGTAAAGTACTTCTGAGGGTTATTTCCTGTTGACATATAGTGTGTTGTGCATTTCAGTGTATATATTATAAAGCATTCCATACAGTATACACTAATGTACTAGTGTTGATAGAGAGGATATTATATGTCCACGGTATGAAAGCATCAGTCAAAGTGTGACTCCACAAAATAGTAAGCTACAACTGCATTCATTGATTTTTTGATTTACATATTATCACTTTATAAAGTTAATATGACAAGCAAATAAAGAGCAACATTAGCATTTGTTTCATAGCATTAGCACAAATGTAAGTACATTTAAAAAGTTCTTTTAGCTCCTTTTTGGTCTCCACCAACTATGGACGGAAACGTCTGTTTCTTTAGCAGCTAAATGTTCCACTATGTTTACCGGCTAGCTGCGTTTGGTGCTGGGTAGGTAGTGTGCAATATGTTTGTTAAAGCATTTTTTACTGAAAACAGCACCCCAGAGTCTGGAAACAAGGTTGGAGAGAGTAAAGTGGACGAAAACCAAAACAATGAGCTCAAAGAGACTAAAAGGGTGATAATTCTCTGTGGGTTCATCAATATGAATGACATCTTCACTTCACACAGTTACAGTTTATCAAATGTAAATATAAAAATAATATTGGAGCTTTGATAATATAACTATTGATTCGTGTGGCTTTAAGACATAAAATGCTGGAATTTAATGCATACTTTCTTAAAGTCATTTAGTCAGTGTAACCGCACTTTTTACACATTTTTTAAAACAGGGTTTGTGTATAGTATGCAGTTGCAAAGGCGAAATCCTCACTTGGGGGATTAAGTGGGGAGTGAGAATGAGAGAGTGAGTGTGTGTGACAACAGCTAACATTATGGAGGTTGGCTGCTAGCCAAGTTTTGTAAACTTTTTTTTTCTTGCCCCGGACAAACTGAAATAATGAACTTCAATAAAACACATGACATGTTGCCAGTAATATTGTAAGCAAGTGCTCTTTGAGTGATACAATGTCTTGGTTCTCACCACGAACCCGCATATTTTGTCTCAGTTGTTCCATTTTACCGGAAGGTGTGCAATCACATATAATCTCACACATACACACATTCACATGGACTAAAGTATGAGCTTATACCTGTTTTGATGGATTTTTGTGGGGCTCAAATATCTGTTTTTTGTACATTGAGGGGGCCTTTCATGAACTCATGCAAAGTGTTTTTTCCATCAGCTACATCTAAACGTGGCACATGTATGGAGTGTGGCTGTGAGAGAGTGTTGGTAACAGAAATGAACTCATGAGCCATGTCATTGGCTGCATTTGCTGAATGAATGCTGCTAATTATATTTTGTTGTTGTGGGACAGTTACATTCATGGCACTATGTCATTGCTCTTAGTTCAACAGCATTCACATTTTCAACCTTTGCCAGAACGCTGTCTTACACATTCCTTTCTGAGAGATTTGTGAGTTTATTTGTTATATTTAGTGAGCCTTTTTGCCAAGATGGCTCGCAGACAACACGTCATATTTATCAGCTGTCGAGACAGTGGGATGTAAATTGACACAGTATGTAATTAGTCAATAATTAACCATCTTCAAGAAGAATGGTTTAAATCACTTTAGCAATGGATTTTACTCAAACCACACTATGTTTAAAAGTGTAATTTCAATGTAAAAACAAAAGGTGGGGAAAAAGGTGCCCTGCTACTCCTTAAATGTTTAAAACAAAAACCGAAAGAAATATCCAGATAGCTGAAATAATAGAAAAGGGCTCTACAGAGGTAGATGGAGAAATGGCTAAATGTAGGAAAAGGTAAGGAGAAAATCCCTCTCCAGCTTTGTGACATCATTCTCCCCACTGCTCACATCCAGACCAAACAGGGCTATGTGTCTGGTTTTCATTTACTTCTTTTCTCCCCCTCCGCTCACCCTCTCTTTTTCTTTTTTTCCTCCTTTCTTTAGAGAAAGTGGGAGGAGGAAGAGAGAGGTGGCAGAACTCCAGGAGTTTGGAAGTTTGTCCCATCCCAGCCTTGAACTCAGCACCACAGCTCCTCTGGTTTGAGACCGGGCGGGTGTCTGTCTCTTTCTGTCTCAACAATTTCCTCCTTTCACTCAGGACCCCTCTTTCTGCATATCTCTAATCAGTGCCTGTATCACTGCCTTGCTCAGCAGCCTTCCTTTGGGAGGTGCTGGAAAAGCCAGCAAGGGGAATTTACCACGAGGATAATGCCCATAAGTCCAGCTTGCAGTAATTTTTCATAACAGATACATTTTCTTTTTCTTCAAAAACTAATACAGTGGAGTACAGCTACTTCAGCTTAGGGTAAGTTTTAAATCTGCTCTGTTCTGATTCATCAGAAAAAGGTTTCTGCTTGTTTTTTTGTTATTTTTTTTTTTTACAAATGCATGCTTGCCTCATTTCTCAGTTTTTACTCCTTTAAGGATTGACCTTGTTTGCACTTTTACGTGATTATAAATAGTGCATTGACCATAGCATAGTTTCTAGTCATAACATGTAAGCTTATGATGGGTGTCATAATCACAGGGTTGCAAAGAGTTTTTGGCTTATAGCTCATAAATATCAGACAGCATGCGTTTAGCAGCATGGCTGAAGCCTATACTTTAGTGGTGAGAGTGCTGCAAGGGCAAGAGGTGAGCCGCAGTTAGGGTGAAGAAGGCGACCTCAGCAATGTTATGTAGCTGCATGTGAGTGTAGAGGGGTGTGTTTGCTTCCTTCTTCTCTTCAAAAGTCTTAAAATGCTACACTTCTGTTTGAAATGTAAGTTTAATTTACTGCACAGGTGTCAAGTAATTGTGGTGAGAGAAAACAGTGAAATCCCTAAAATACTACGTCTAAAGTCTCAAACTGTGATCTCAGATCAGTGTTAGAGCTGTGATCCTGTACCCTGCTGCTTTGTCTATGCTCTATTTGTAAGAAAGCGTAATTAATACATCATGTAATGCAACAGATTATGTAAGTCTTCTATCAGAACTTGCCATTGATCATCTTGCAATAGGTTATTGCCATGCTCTCTGTTAGTATTTTGGAATGATCTTTTGCTTATTTAATTAAATCTAAATTGGGAATCTGCTGGTAATGGTACAATCACATCCAAATGTTTCAAATCTGCACACCCACATGTGAGCTCTAAAGAAGAGCAGTTGGATGGGTAGATGTTTCCACTGCAGCAGAAGCCCAAAACCACACCCTCTCTGAGACGAGTACAGGAGTGGAAAAGTGTGAAGAAAGCATTTTCCACACTACTGGCCAGATGAGCCAGGAGAACCAGAAGGGGTTTGGTCCATTGGACAAAACTGGGGTGGGTGGGTGGGTGGCGGTGGTGGTAGTGGGCTGCAGGGTTTAGTGGACCAGGTGTGAGCCATTAATCTTCTCCTACAAGAGTCTCCAAGCAGGGACAGAGGAATTCAGCTGGGTCTTCATTGCAGTGTTTTATTGTGAGCATGTGGGATTTGACGCACAAATTGTGTTATGTTATTCATCTAAGGAACAACTTAATGACATTACATTCGGTGTTTGTCATAAGTATTTCTCATGAGCTACTGCTTCCACGTAGTTTTATGTTTGCATGTAACCTGTTGCTAGGATACAGAGAGGAAGAACTTGGTCGTTGTTCAAATGGGAGAGGAAACTTGGTGTGCGCTCCAGATTTGGTTTTATGTTTTTGAAGTATTTTCACATAATTTACTACCTGCATTAGGACAATGCTACAGCTCCCTCTTGGAAGCTAGTAAATCAATTGTTATTGGCAGAGCTGCATCAGGAGGATTCTTAACAAAGCATTTTTAGATATACAGTATAAATCAGCATTAGTGTGTTTTATGAGTACTCCCCTCTCTCCAGCTTTTTGTCTTTTTTCCATGATGCTGCACAGATGTCTGGAAGGTTGGGACATTTTTCAGAAAGGTCTAGTCTCAGTTGACTACTACTCCAATGTTCTCTTTTTAAGGAAACAGCCATCTATAATTGCAAGGGATGTAAATCAGAGTTTATCTGTTATGCATTGCTTTAGTGAGAGTTTGTGCCTGATGATTTTGGCATATTTGACTCTTTTGAGGTAATTCTGAGGTGTTGATTGACTCATTGATAAGATCACAGGGCCCCTAAGTGTCTAAAAGGTATATAAGGAGAAAAAAATAGCTCTTAGAAATGAACTCACCTTACTAACTGATCTCACTTAGTGTCAGGTTTAATACTTTGACTCAGCCAGCCTGCAGGCTTAGATTGGCCACAATGCTTGAACACACATCTGCTTGGTGTCAGACGGACTAATACACACCAGCTGTATGGAACTGCCCGCCCAACCTGCCTCCTCCTCCCTCTTTTAACTTTATCATTGATCCTTTTCTCATCTGTACCGCACATGTCACGTCATGACCCTTCCAAGTTGAAGGGTGGGTGGGGACTGCAGGTCCACACAGCCACGTGATGGATTCATACATGTGGAGGCTAACACGTACTGTATGTACAAGTGATATTTCCTCGCACGATGCCAGTGAGTGGCAGTGTAGCGCTGCATTATGAAGTAAAAATGACTCACATCCCTTGTGACTTGTGACACTTATTTTACTGATCTCTTTGCTCAGATTCAAGCAAATTGTCTTCATTAAGTGTTGTTGACAGTATAATTGAAATGCACAAGGTTTCAGTCTGTGTTGAGTGTTAAGGGAGCTGCTAAAGTTGAGCCTATTTGACAGTATGATCTATTAAAAGCAGAGCATAATGTGTGGTTTGCACATTGAAGTTCCTTATTAGATGCTTGGACAAATTCCAGTTACTTAAACTGTGCAATTCGGTAATTTCCTCTATACAAGCGTATACGTGTGTGTGTACAAGCTTGACTTCAAACACGATTTTCTAATTAATGACACAATTAAAAAGTACAGTGAAATACCAAACAGCATGATGAATTTTGGCTACACTGTGACTGAGGAGTTAGGTTCCAAAGGAAATGCAGCTGTGTCAGTGTGGCAGGGTCTCCTCTGGTATTTGCACTGAGTGATGCCTTGGAACATAAATCACAAAAGCAGAATAATTACTTTTTCATTCAGTTTGTAGAGAATGCTTCAGTTTTCCTTTATTGCAGTTTCTCTATGTAAGGCAAGGTAAGTATTGAACGAATTTAATATTTATTAGACTTATAGAATCTAGACTCATAAAAAATTACCATTTTACTTTGAAATGACAAAAGCGAAAAAGATTAGAAACACAACTTAGTCAACAAAAATAATTTTTTTCTAAACCTGCAAAAATAGGCCACTTGGAGGCAAAATCCCCTTTTAGGTTGATATTGCAAACTGCACACAATCAGAGCTACATTTATTTAAGAATGAATGTAAGTCACATATTCACTCTACTTTAAGCTCTGTTTTGGTCTCTGCTAACCCCTGATGGAAATATCTGACTTTTTGACTGCTAAATGCTCTGCCATTTGGTGTCAGGTAGTGTGCAGAAGGTGTTTTTAGAGCTGAAAAAGCTGCCTGCCGTGGCAAAACAGTGAAGTTGCAGGCCAGAAAACTAAAACAATTAGCTAAAAGATGCTAAAACAACATAACAGAAGAATTCTGAGGCAGGTAAAATATGGCTGGCTATGTTTGTAGTTATTTTCTTAGAACTGTTGCATCAATAATGCATTTTGATACTCAAGTGTGAGGAGGCAAGTGTCTCCATCTTGTAGCTTTAGCTCAGAGACGCATTTTTTGACTTCAGAGGTGCTCTGAAAGTGCTTAAATCTGTGTGAAAATGTAGCTCGTTTTGTTTTGTGTGAGGTGACTGAGTCGTGTCCTTCTCCCTAACATCAGAGGTACACTTTCTGTCGTTGGTGTAACTGCAATCAATAAACTCCGGTATCTGTCACTGAGACTGACAGAGTTTTGTGCTGGCTTATGTGAGTTTATGTATGTGCATGTGTATGTGTGTGTGTGTGTTTGTGGTCTTTGCTATAAATGAGTGTGTGAGGTCCAGCTGCAAACATGCTTCAGAGTGCTCATGTGCGCGTTGCAACGTCTGTCTTGCTGTGTAAATGCAAACTGCCACTGCTGGCTATAAATAGTGCCACTGAGCAAGATATACTGCTGTATACAGTGTGCTGGGAAGTATGTTCTGCACACTGTATAACATAAACTGCACACTGAACTCTCTTTGAAGCATGTCACTTCATACTGGTAACATAAAGATTAAGTGGTGACTTGGCATATTATACAGACACACATAGGTGGACCTCAGCAGGAGGAAAAAAGCACATATTAAAAGCTAATAACTCCTCATCCTCTGCACCCCTTTCTTATCATTAACTATCATGATATTTGACACATATTTACCTGCGTGGTCTCCTGTCCTACAGGAATGCTGCATGATAGATGTACCTGGATGGGCAATGCATATTTTTAGCTCCTTAAAGATGTGTGAGCTTTGGAGACTCCTAGTGGTAGTAGCAAAAAATACATCCTGCATCCCACAGACTGCAGTACATGCTGATATCCCCCCAACCTAAAGATCTTTCCCACTAATATGGGATAAAAGCTTCACAAAGACTACACTGTTTGTTGTTGTCATCGTCGAATTCTTTTCCAAATAAAAAGTTAAATACGAAGATGACGACATGTGGCTGAATGCTGCCTGCCCTTTCTGAAAGAAGAGCAGCTTAACAATGGAGTTATTGAGTTCTCGAAGAATGTCAGAATGCATGTTTGGTGCAGATGCTTTGGGCTGAGACCTAATAATTGTTTTAGGATGCTGACAGAGATTCAGATTTATACCACAGAGTGAGGAAATTAAGAGCAAGTTACCTTTTGTTTTGTAAGTTCCTTTTCTCTGCCATTCAGGGGCGTAGGAAAAAAATTCTGGACCCTGTAAATTCTCTATGGGCACCTCCCCAAATCCACAAGTATTCAATCTAATATCTTTACCCCCCAGTCTGATGCCCCTGCTGCCATTGCACTGTCCTGCATACTTCATAATATGCTTTTGTATTAAAGCTTACCAATGGCTTACATGACAGCGTGTAATATGAAAAGGGTGCTCGTAGTGACAAACCCACACAGAATTATCAACCAACTCTGCAGCTGATGATTCTCAACAAACCATTGCCATAACTCAACACAGTTCAAATAAATGCTAATGTTGCTCTGTGTCTGTACTGAATGTGTTAAGAGGCAACTGTTTGTCGTAACAGCTTTACTTTAGGTGACATATCAAACATGTGTATGATGTTCAGCTAAAATTCTACCCCCAAGTGGCGAAAAAATATGAATGCAGCTTGAAGATAATGAAGTAATTTGGAGCCGGTGTATTTTTACTTTCTTTCGTAATTTTCTCTCAAATGTAATTCCCCACGCTGCCATTGTTTTGGCTGCTCCTATCAGTGAAAACAGGACTCCACTGTGCTACTATGTTTTCTCTGTGGCAGTGAGGGGAAGCCATAGTGTTGACACATTGGCCAGGCCTGGCAAACTCTGCAGAGAAGTGGCTTTTGAGTGACCTGAAATCACATGAGCATGAGTGGAGAACACAAACATCTGTTGCAGTGTCCAAGAGAGCTTAGATTTCCTTGAAATTAAGGAACTTAGTGATTTAGGCCCTATATCTGGATAGTGACGGCACTGGCGCACTGCAGGGACACACATTTCTCACTGTAAGTGTGGATTCTGTTCAGAGGATACTTTTTAAATCTCTTTACTTTGTTGAAATGTATTCTCCAAGAACTTTATATGTTTCTTTTATAATGAAAGGATTATCACACCATGCATTGGGCAGTATAGAATGACCCCCCTCACTGGCACTGATATTCTAGTGTGACACGAATCTGCAACTTCCTAATATTTTCAGTGCAGTAACTTTTCACAATCCTCCACTGCATGGTCAGTGAGTTGTGATGGTACACACTGATGGGCCTGTCTAAAAAGTGAATACATATGAAGTGTTGCAGTTTTTTTTCAATATTCTCATCTGCAAAGTGTGGTCTGCATAAACAGTGAACACAGCAAATCCTAAACACTGACTGATAAATGTAAGGCACGGCAACGTTGCATTAAATACGACAGCCATGTTTGTAATTCATTATTGCTGTGTGTTGTGGATGGCTTAGATTCAAAACTAGCTGACCCAGGCTTTCCTATCCTTGTGAAAGGGTCTCTTTGACTCCACAGCAAAAAATCATTTTTTACTTTAATAAGACTGAAGTGCACATTTAGTCAAGATCAGAGAGTGACTTGGTCCAAAATCCACTGTTGACAGGGACATTTTCCACAGCTTAGAGTTAATAATGTTGGTTGCTGGCCAGTATTTAGAATCAGATGCAAAAATAACTTCAGCATGATCTATGTTACATTTCAGTACAAGACATGTGCAGCCTGCACCTTGTGTTATTTCTGCCTGTTTTTTATTTGCGTTGCTGGTCAGAATTCCTTCTCCTTTAGTTTTTGTTTTTGATAGATACAATGAGAGGCACAATTAGCAATTGGAAAGAAAAACTCTAAAGTATTTACAATCTATGTGCCAAAATTGATTTTGTTCTTATTACTGGCAAGGTTTTCCCTAGTGGATGTAGCTTAAAGTTTAAGGAAGCAGGCTTATGACTGGAGGGTTGCCAGTTGGATCCCTGAACCTTCAGGAGTTGGGTGGTGCCATTGAGCAAGACCCTGAACCCCCCAAACAGTTGTGCTGGGAAGCTTATTATTTAAAAGCCTCACAAGTGAAATTTGTTAACATACATACATACATATCCCATTTAATAAGCTCATGATGACGTATGAACAATACATGTATTATATGCTGCTTACTTCTAAAAAAAAAAAGCAGGATCTGTCAGACTGTGTTATACCTAGATTTTCCACTAGAGGGCATTTGTCATTTTCAGGGTTTTCACAGTTGTGCCAGGTCCTCCATCATCACAAAGGCACATTAGATAAAGAAAACACAGCTTACATTTTCTGGCACTGGAAAGTGCAAACTTCATGCACATTCTTGAAGTTCTTCTCTTGTTATTTCCAATAAAGTCAACATACAGTAAATCTCTAATTACCCACATACCACTTTTCATGCAGTGCACATTAGAACTGCCCTTAATGCTGAGCTTTTATTGTGTGTGCAGCAGCAGGCACAGAGGCTGTTAAAGAGACTCCTCTGGGACTCTAAGAGTTATTTACCTTCACTCCACCATCATTACTTTAATGGTGAAAACATTGGTCACTGGCCATGTGTGCCATCTCATTATTTACTATTTTATTTTTCAGTCGTTATATAGTTGTTTGAAAAATTTTGTTTGCTTAAGTGTGTTTAAATGTAATTGCTTTTCAGCTCGTGCTTTGCTGTTCTTGAGACTTTTTGGACCTATTTTATCACCTCAGGGTGGTCTGAAATTTAATAGGTTAGGTGTGTGTTCTCTTGGCTGTCTACCATTGTGAGGTGTAGACCAAGAGAGTGAGGTAGGTGAAGGTAATCCTCACTCCAAAGAGCTTCTTGAGGGTTAAGATAATGATACAAAAGTTTAATTAAATCTTTAAAAGGTGCCAGTAAGGGGATAAAACAATGATCCCAGCCTCTCATCCTAACCATACTATCATGTGGTCTCCCCTCTAGGCTGTGACCATGGTCAGCCCTACTAGCTTTTGTTTGTTCATCAGCTTCTGAGCTTCTTAGGACTTAATTTTAGGGTTATCCCCACTCATGGACAGTTGTGTTTTTAACCTGCTTGAAGAAAATTTGACTTTGGCTGTGTTAAGATTAGACTGAATGTTTGAAGTATTTCCTGTACTATCGGAAACATAAGCACAAACGTATACACGCATGCACACTTACTCTATGAGCTAAATTCATAAGGTCATTAGTGAGTCATGAGTCACCTTCCTTTCATTTCCTTTGACATTACTTAACATCACAATGGAGGAAAATCTGACTAAATAAGAAACACACACCCCTGCTGTGGAACTGGACTTTCCAGTCCTCTTAAGAAGGTATTATTTTGTGAGTTGGAAAATATGGTGCTTGCCAAGCAGAGTTAATTACTAAAGCACATTGGCTGGTAGTTTTAACAGGTGGTTTTGATCATTACAACTCTTCGGGTCTGCTACTGATGTACCAACACATGCTGCAGCTCCCTCACTTTACTATCCAAAAGCAAAATGTAAGAGAAGTGCTGGTGATTCAATTTTCTTTCTTTTTTTTTATAGCTGCCTTTCATGCCAGATATCATGCCTGTTTTAAAGCCTGGGCAGGATGTACATGCTTTCCACTGCCTGAGGTTATGAAAAATTAAAAAGGCTCATCCCAGTGTGAAGGAACTGGGACATGGTGACACTTAAGTAGCAGTAACAGTAGAATATATCATGCACACACAGCAGAAAATGTTGACAAGAGACATGTTTTTCTCTTGTGTGGCGTGTCGGAGGTTAAATGTTGCACTCTCGGCCAATAAAAACAAGCTTATGCAATGTTGTGTGTTATATTTAGAGGCAGTGCAGCAGAAATAGGGAGTGCAAAAAACCCTGTACAAGGCAAACTTGTATGAACTGTGTGTGAAAGCATGATAACATGATATTAAACATGATATTAAAAAAGAAACAGCCCTTGAAGCATGTTTATGTAAACTGTAACAATAGACAAACAGTAAATACATTTTACTTCATTTGACATTTACACAAGCCTGTCTTGGCTGGTTGGTTTATTTGTATTGTTTTCATGCAATTTTTCTGCGCAGGAACACCTGTGTTGTCCAAATGTAATATCACACAGCTCAAGGCCTTGTGGTAAAAGGGGAGGGCCTTCTGGGTTTTATTCATATCATGTTTCTTTCTGGTTTCACAGGTGTCCCCTTTGCTGTCTTTGGTGATAGAAGATGAAGAGGCATCGGTTGTTACCGCTATGTGCCCTCCTGGCTGTCCTGTTTGCAGGACTCTTCCCTAACCTTGATGCTCAGGAAGGTAAGTTGAACTAAGTTGATCTCAGCTCCTGTCAACAGGGTGTGCTCATTTTGCAGTTTCAGCAATGCTCAGTGGGTTTTTTTGCTTGTTTTTTTATATTATTACTCTCCTAAAAATATCTAATCTACATCTGAAGAAAATGGGGATTTATAGAAGTGCTTATGACATCCTAACAAAAACAAAGTAAAAAAAACAAAGGTAGATATGGTAACAGTTCTTCTTTTCTAATGAGCATTGTTGGTAAACATATTCTTTAATTATTGTAATTTTTTTTATATAATGTATTTAAATTCTCAACGTGGGACAAAAACAAAATAGAGGCCTCAGGAGAATGATGCTTTCATATGTAGAATTACAGATTTTGGCACTAAAACAATATTATGGAACCAAACACCAAGCATCTTTTCATTGGTCTTCACTTCTGTCCTCCAAACACTCTCTTTTGAAGATTGTGCACAAGGGTTGGCAGCTGATATATACTTTCTAGTGGATTCATCCTGGAGTATTGGAGAGGAGAACTTTGAGCATGTCAGACAATTTTTGTACAGTGTGACACAAGCACTGCACCAGGTTGGAGGGGGCAGGTTTAAATTTGCCCTTGTGCAGTACAATAACAAGCCTGAAACTGAGTTCCAGCTCAACACCTACCCGACAACACAGGGAGTCTTGGCACACATCAAGGCTATGTCTTACCGTGGGGGGGGCACCAAGACTGGCCTGGGCCTGGATTACCTGATTCGAACACACTTGACCACTGCTTCGGGCAGCCGTGCTGTTGAAGGAGTGGCCCAAGTGGTGGTGGTGCTAACAGACGGGCGTTCCCAGGATGACGTGGCTGTGCCAGCTGAGGTGCTGCGGCTGGCAGGCGTTCAGGTGTTTGCAGTTGGAGTTCAGGATGCAGTGGACTCTGAGCTCAGGGAAATGGCTAGCCAGCCCTATGACGCTCATGTGTTTAATGTAGACTCTTTCTTGACTTTGCGGGATATAATACAAGATTTGGTAGTGGGGCTTTGCGGCGCAGTGACCCAGTCAGGGGGTGCTCCTGTGGCAAACGAGGCCCCTGTGGCTGGAGGAGGGACAGGTAATGAAATGGGACCAGTGTCACTACCATACTAATGTGTCTACATGTGCAGGAAGAAGCTGCTGCATATGTGGACGTGACTGGATTTTATTATTAACACAATCAAGTGTTTTTTAACAACCTTATAATAACCTTTCACTATCCACCTGCAAAATTAACATCACTTGTTTTGTCTTAATACACCCTTAATGCTTTAAAAATCACAATAAGACATGCATGTGATTGACACCCGTACAACATCTTGAATTAGGGTGTTAAGTAGGATGTACACATATATGTTTGTGCACAGCGAGAATAGATACAATGAGTGTGGATTGAGAGAAAGCTATTTAAGCAATGTGAAAGTTCTGTACCAGGTGCCTTTTAATTTGGTAGTGAGTTGAGCTCTGTGTAGGCATACAACAATATGTCAACACAGACGATTATTTTCAGACGATGCCTGTTTTTATTAGATACAGCTGTAGGTTAGAGACACATATACAGACAGTAACAGAAAAAAAAATCATACAGTGACACCTCAGATTAATAGGATTCCTTCACAAAACCTTTGAAGAAGAACAGCCTCGGGGAGGCTTTAAAACATCACATCTTAAAATCAAACAATGAGCTTTTAACAATAGCTAACTGCACAACTGCTTATGTGTCTTGCATTTTGTTTGTTTGTCTTTATCAGTCACAATGTCTATCTGTGTAAAATATGTGCAAAATTCTGTTTTTGAAACAGTGATGAACCTGCCTGAACTCATCCTTGACCTGCAGAAGAAGTACTTTGAGAATGTTTTTACATGTAGATGTCCAGCAATCATGTTAAATATGTTAAGTTATTGGCATGAGAAAATACATTGATTAAATTACATTGACAAATTGAAATGAATTGGAAACATAAATGTACTTGTTTTACATGAATGTAAAGTACATGGACATGTATTATATTCTCTAGTACTGAAAACTTGTAGGCACCAAGGATAGGCCACAGGATCATGACTGGTCACTTTATCAGAGGTCCGTAACAAGAGTCTGCATGGGAAGGCTGAACTCAATGGAGCTTATACAAGGGACATATCAAACAAATTAAATCAGAAACTTTGGAAAATGATAAAACAGCTTAATTTGTCTTTCAAGCATTGATTGTCTTTTGACTTGCAGATGTCATCACAGTATGGAGTACCCTTAGTTATGAGTTTTATTTTTCTTACAATTTTGAATATAATCCGACCAATATTTTTCGGTACCATATTATAGTTATATATTATTAGGGTATTAATAATTACAATGTATAATAATAATGATGATAATCTAGACCACAACAATTACCCTCTTGTTATACATTACTCCATGTATTACACATTTACTTACTAAAGACATCAATAATTTCACACAATATACTGATTTAAAAATGATTTTATTGCTTACACTGTGGTCCTCCAGAGTAAATGATCAGAAATGCATCCACAGCGATGATCTGCTAATTAGAAATAACAGACGTAGAATGTCATAATTGACTAGAGAATCGAGTATTCAACAAAGCTGTGTAATAAACAATTATAATAGTGCTAAGTATTTTTTACACATTTTAAATACGTTCCAACTTTTAATAAAAAATTTAAGCTTTTCAGTTCATAGGTTAGGGTTCAGCCACATTTTGTCTATTTATCACAATTCTTTTAATGTAATAATTAAAATGATAGGAGTTTATTCCTAATGTGTTAAAACATTAGTTTTTCTAGAATTAGAATATATTTTTAGTCTTATTAAACTGTGTTGACCATACAAGATGTGGACAATTAGCTAAATTATACTTCAGCTATCGGAGCTACTATCAGGGGTTAGTATTCATATTGACCCCAACACCACTGTACCATACTTACCCTTATGGTACTGTAATCCATATCCAACCCAAATAACCTTCATTATAGGGAAAAATCACACTATATAGACAAAGGGGTTCTACATGTAGGTTCAAATAATCATCAAATTACATCACTTTATGAAATTTCCTTGGTTCAGCCTACATGCAGTATGATGTGTTTTGCAATGTTGTTATTGATTTGTTCACTTTGAATGTCACTTGACACATGCAATGATATGCTAGCACGAGTTCTTGTCTCTGTCTCACTATGTTAACGCTTTCACAAGTTCCATTTTGTTTTGTTTTCTCTCTCTCTCTCCTTAAAGCGCAAGATTCAGCTGACCTAGTACTCTTAATTGATGGATCACAGAACGTTGGAGCAGCAAACTTCCCCTATGTGCGTGATTTGGTTTTGAGAATCATTGAGCGCCTTGATGTGGGCAGGGACACTGTTCGCGTTGCCTTGGCCCTCTACAACACCAACACAGAGATAAAGTTCTATCTAAATAGCTATGAGAGCAAATCATCAGTCCTGGAAGCTGTGAAGGGCCTGGCCTTCCCAGGGGGTGACGAGTCTAATCTGGGGGCTGCCTTGGAGGAAGTGGCCGAGAGCCTTTTGAGTGAAACAGCTGGGGGCAGGGCAGAGGAGGATGTGCCCCAGACGTTGGTGATTATCAGTGCTGGGCCATCCACTGATGATACTGGTGCCGGTGACCGGGCCATTAAGAGGGCCAAAGTTATTACATTTGGCGTGGCGATTGGTGACTCTGCTACTGCAGATCTGGAAGCAGTTGCTACAGATAAAAGTTTTGTCCTGTCAGCCCCTGATTTCAGAGCAGTAGCAAGAATGGGTGACCAGCTGCTCCCATACATTAACGGGGTGGTCCAGCGCACCATTATAATTCAGAATGTGTTCACAGAAGGTATGTAACTTCTCTGTATGTGTTGATGTGGCAATGTGGTTGTGGAAGGGGAGTTAAAAACATAAAATCCCAAAGAGTTCATAATAAATGTATATGTAGTGTGCAAGGTAAGATATGGATGTGGTACACAAATGACAGAGGTGGCAATAACACAGTAAAGGTGAGAATTACTCTTTTTAATGTTCTGTACTTTTTGAGAGTGCTTTTTTAAAATGTATCTACAAAGTTACATTAATGAATTGTGACAGTAAATAACCTTTTGGTTACAGGTATTCTGCTAAGAAAGAGATGCCTTTCAGAACCTGGTTTATTGAATAGCATATTTTCAGCAGTGATAGGACATCATCTTAGCTACTGCAAACAATGGAAAATAGTATCACAATTTTTTTTTAAAACACATGATCTCTTAAACATATCTCTAACCTACTCCATTATGCCATTTTTACAATTTGAATTGAAGCTGCATTAGGCTCATTTTAATACCTAAAAAGAAAAAATGACAGGATTGTACTTGTATGTTGATGACATTCTGTCACACATTTGCCTTGACCACACATAAAAAATATCTGGGTCTGTTTGCCATGACCTTTAAACAGCCACTGGTTAGTGCTGGAGTAGTCTACAACTGGTTGGTATGAGCTTGGGTGACTGGACATGCTGCCCACAGTTTTTGATGGGGAATCTGACTTACAATACAGACTTCAGACCCAAGTCAGTGATCTGAAAAGGTGCATAGAATGGTTTGTGCCCATATCACATCATATATTCCCAAACATATTACTTGATACAACCTAAAGTACTTTGTAGTTACAAATTCCTGTATTCAAGTAAATAATTTGTGTGATTCCAAAATGGGTGGCTTCTTGTGTTGTCAAACTTAAAAAAAAGAAAGTTCCAACAAATACATTGTAATGTACATGGCCTACCTATAGACTTAAGTTCAATAAGTTAATAAAGTTAAATTAAATTATAAATAAAATAGTTTTATGAACTAAATGAATGACCAATAAAAAAAATGACTATCACGAAGACTATCATTTTATTCACATTGTAAGCTGTATTGATACCTTAAAGGGTAGCATATAGTGTGTCCATATAGAACTATTAAAACATTAAAAATAGTCCAATTGTATTTGTATTGTGCCAAATCATAACAAATGCTATCTCAGGACACTTTTAAAATAGAGCAGGTATAGACCGTACTTCTTATGAAATTATTTACAGAGACCTAACAATTCCTACCATGAGCAAGCACTTAGCAACAGTGGCAAGGAAAATCTTAATTTTAACAGGCAGAAAGAGACCCCCAGCTCTAGGCGTTCCTCTTTTTTTATAGTATGTCAACAGTAGTTAACACATATCCCAAACAGCTTAATATAAATATAAACCTTTAGTACTTATTAAACTTGTACATTTATAAAAAAATTATATTTTATTTTCATATTTATGTTTTTTCTTTTCTTTTCAGTCTTGACAGTTGGAAAACGAGACGTGATTTTCCTAATCGACAATACGATGGGTCCAAATGTCGTCAATGCCATACGCGAATTCATCAGGCGGTTCGTCGACTCCATGCCAATTGGTCCAGACGGAGTTCAAGTGGGTGTCGCCCAGTTCAGCAATGTCCCTCGACTAGAGATAGATCTCAACTCTTATGGAACCAGGGAAGAATTAACTGCTGCTTTGGGTGTGATCAAACCAAGAGCCGCTCAGCCAATCAACATTGGAGCAGCCTTGGACTTTGTGCGGACGAATATGCTGCTACCTGAGAAAGGCAGTCGTATTAGGCAGGGGGTACCCCAACTTGTACTCTTGATGACCGGTAAAAAGTCCAGCGACAGTGTTGAAGAACCTGCTAAGGCCCTCATGCGAATGGGCGTACTAGCTCTAGCTGCAGGCTTCAAGTCTGCAGATGAAGAAGAAATGAAGCAGGCTGCCTTCACTGAGAGTGTTGTGTTCATGGTGAGGGACATACGTGGACTGAGAAGCCGACGAGATGAAATGGTTAATGCACTCTCCACACTGGCTGGGGTGGTGGTGACTGAAGGACCCACCGAGCCTGGTAAGTGTAAGGTCATTCAGTACATTTAATGATTAATTCAATGAATTTTCAGATCTTTGAAATGGAAATATATAGATGAGTGATAAATTAAAGGAAAACCTTGAATAAATAAGAAATGCAGATGCGTGCATGCAGAGTCTACCACCTTGACTTTCAGCTTGCAGTGAGGGTGTACTGCAAGTGCCCAAAAAAAAGAATCAACTTCATAGCATGTGCAGATTTAATTTTTTATGTTTTTGTGTTTTTGTTAGTGGTGGACACAACCACAGTGCACACTCAAAGAGTGGTCAGAGACATTGTCTTCCTTGTGGATGGCTCAAACTACATTGGCAGCAGTAACTTACCCTATGTGAGAGACTTCATCATCAACGTGGTCAACCAGCTGGATGTACGTCCTGACAGGGTCCAGATTGGTCTCATGCAGTTTGCTGAACGTCCAAGAGTTGAATTTTATCTGAACAGCCAAAACAACAGGCAAGATGTTGTGAATAAAGTCTCTCAACTCAGGCTAACTGGAGGCTCAGTTTTGAATACAGGAGCTGCCATGAATCAAGCCCTCACCATGTTCCAACCATCAACTGGCTCACGCAGGAAGCAGGGAGTCCAGCAGGTATTGGTTCTGATCACAGGCGGACCAGCCCAGGATGAGGTTAAAAGCATAGCTGATAAATTGGCTCTATCTGGTGTTTTGACATTCACGGTCAGTTCAGGCCAAGCAGATGATGCCTTACTGAGGACAGTCGCCTTTGTTCCAGACTTGGCTTACCATGAAACAAGTTTCTCTAATCTACCAGCTATGGCTGAGCTAATCATGCCAAAGTTGATAACAGTGGTTGGTGATACGGATGTAACATCCTTCCCTGAGGAAACTGGTGAGTTTAGTATTTCGCTGTATTCACTAATGAAAAAAATGTGATATAATTAAAAGTTTGCCTGGTAATAATAATAATAATTATTATTTTTTTGCCCCCCCCCACCCAGTTGTTGGAGGTGAAAGGGATGTTGCCTTCCTCATTGATGGCACGGATAATGTACGAGCAGATTTTGGCTACATCCGGGATTTTATCATTAAAGTAATTGAACCACTTGACATTGGGACTGACAAGGTACGAATTTCAGTGGTTCAACACAGCGAGAAGCCTACTCCAAGTTTCTTCCTTAACACTTACCAAACCAAAGATGAGGTGCTAAGAGCTGTCAACGGAATGGCACTGGCTGGTGGACGTAGTCTAAACACAGGATCTGCTCTAAGATACATGAAGGACACCATCTTGTCTGAAAGTAATGGTAGCCGGGCTGCGCAAAATGTCCCTCAGTTTCTGATTGTGTTGGCTGGAAGCAGGTCCAGGGATAATGTGAAGGATTCTGCTGGTGCACTGAAGACAGAGGGAGTCGTACCATTTGGCGTCGGTGTCAAGGATGCAGACCCAAGGCAGATTGAGGCCATTTCACACAACCCTTCCTTTGCCTTCAAGGTGAAAGAATTCAGTGAACTTAGCACCATACCCCAACGGCTCAATAACTACGTGAGCCTTCCAAGGGAGGAGCTGACCCTAGTCCTAGAACAAGGTAGGAAAAATCTCTTTTGTTATTGGCGTGTTGAACTTGCTTTAAGAAAATCGTTTCTACTGATGTTACTGATGAATCTTATTTGTTGTGTCTTAGTACAAAGCAATGAAGTAAAAAGAGATATTGTGTTTCTACTGGATGGCTCTGATAACACAAGAAATGGATTCCCGGAGATAAAACTCTTTGTAAAGAGCATAGTGAAGAGCCTCTCTGTTGGAGAGAGCCAAGACAGAGTGTCTGTGGTTCAGTTTGCTGATAACCCTGAAGTCAACTTTGATCTGAATTCTCACAAGACAAAGAATGACATTGTAAATGCCATAGATAATTTAAGGCACAAGGGTGGGAGGCGCCTTAATATCGGGAGAGCCCTCCAGTTTGTGAGGCACAGTGTCTTTACTTCCTCAACGGGCAGTAGAAGACTAGAAGGAGTGCCCCAGATTTTAATTCTTCTAAGTACAAAACCATCCACTGATAATGTGAGAAGTCCAGCTTTTGCTCTTAAAGAGCATGAAATTGTATCTGTGGGGGTTGGAGTGGGAGATGCCAAGGTTTCAGAGTTGGAAATGATTGCCTTCAAACCTGGTTTCACATACAAAGTTACTGATTTCTCCAAGTTGCCCTCAATCCAATCACAACTTGTTGGTACACTGAACATAAACAAAGACAATGAGGAAACCATGACTGGAATCTCTGATTTAGTAGGTAAGAATATCACATTTAAATACATGCCTAACATTAGAATACATTACATTATTTGTCCTCAAAAAAAGCTTTTTCTCTCAAGACTAACATCATTTCCTAGAGTCTAATGATTGATGAAAAGGTAATTAATGATTATGAAATGTTTTTGCACATTTCTGTTGCATGATATTGATGATTGCCCTTGCAAGGAAATTTATTCTGTTGAAAAACCAACTGTTCTGTATTTCTTATGCTTTCAAGAACATAGCCCTCTTTTACGCCTCTTTCAAATTTTCCACTGTCTAATGTTGAAGAGGAGTCGACAAATTCATACATCTTTTTGATAAAAAGATGGTTCTTTAGCAGTTCGGCTTGGAATAAAACTTTCAGAGCAATAGCACATCTTTCTTTCTTTGCTCAGTTTATTCCTTTTGAACTTTCTCATGCTGATGAATATGCATGAGGGTAGAAAAGACTTGAACATGCAATTCGTGAATCCTCTTTCTATCTATCCATGTATCACCTAGTTGACACAGGGAGCAACAAGAGGGACATAGTGTTTCTCCTTGATGGGTCAGATGACTCCAGAAATGGACTACCAGCTATTCGAGAGTTCATCAGAAGAATGGCAGAAGAGCTGGACATCGATGAAGATAAGGTTCGAGTGGCTGTTGTACAGTATAGCGATGACACCAAAGTTTACTTCAACCTAAAAACTCACAGATCCAAAAAGGCTATCATCTATGCTGTAAGAAGTCTTCGCCATAAAGGAGGAAGACTACGGAACACTGGAGCTGCTCTGCAGTTTGTGCGAGACCATGTTTTCACTGCTTCATCTGGGAGTAGACGCCGGGAGGGAGTGCCTCAGATTCTGTTTTTACTGACTGGTGGCAAATCCAATGATGATGTTTCAGAAGCTGCGTCAAACCTAAAACAAATCGGTGTTCTGTCTTTCGCCATTGGAATGAAAAACACTGAACAGGAGGAACTTAAAAAAATTGCCTTCTCCTCCAGATTTCTTTTCAACCTTCCTGTCTTTGGTGAACTTTTGTCTGTTCAGCCGGGAATAGCTGCATTTGTCCAGACGGAAATACAAACTGAGCCTCCCACTGTTGTAGGTAAGTGTGTCTATTAGTAGGTGAGACTCAAACTCCCCTGCTTATATTTTAGTATTTGGTCTACTGTAGTTTGAATTACAATGAAACTGTATCATCTTCTGAAGAATGTCAGTCGATCAGTTTCATGTTTCTCAAACTGTCTCCACTGGTCAGAGGCAACTTCGTGGTTGTGCTGTCTCTTGTTTGGCTCTGGCTTCCTTTGGCACCCTGGAGAGCCTTTTCTTGACAGCTCCACATCAGCAAATGTCCTTTCTTTCTGTTCTTAAGCTCTTCCTTGAGCCAATGATAATCACATCATTGACCAAATATTTAGGGTAAAAGAATATTGAAATATTTTCTTAACAGGCTTTCTCCATCTTTCATTTGTGAAAGAGGAATATTCTCCTTATCTTGTAGTTACTTTCAAGTTTCTTAATAATTTCTTCATCTACCAGTTTTTTTCAATGTTCTGGCATCTAACACATTTATTGCTGTAATTTGTTTAAATTTCAATTTCCAGCTCCTATTGTCTTAACAACCATGTAATGTGTGATGATTGCAACGTAACATATTTTAGCATATGTACTCATATGTATGATTCTTAAACAAGGTTTTCCTATTTTTTTCTAGTTGAATTAGAATCCCCTCAAAGAGACATAGTGTTTCTATTGGATGGGTCAGATGATACACGGAGTGGTTTCCCAGCAATGAAAGATTTTGTCCAAAGAGTGGTAGACTCACTCGATGTTGGTGAGAACAAAGACCGTGTTTCTGTGGTCCAGTATAGCAGAGATCCACAGACACATTTCAGTTTGAACACCTACACAGAAAAACCAGATGTTCTTGCTGCTGTCGAGCAATTAAACCATAAAGGGGGGACACCACTCAACACTGGGGCCGCTCTTGACTATGTGAGGAATAATGCTTTTTCTGATTCCTCTGGGAGTCGGCATCAAGATGGTGTCCCTCAGATACTGATTCTGTTGAGTGGGGGAAGATCTCAAGATGATGTTACAAGTGCTGCTGCAGCTCTAAAACAAGACAAAGTTGTTCCATTCTGTGTGGGTACAAGAAATGCAGACATACTCGAGCACCAAATGATTGCACATAACCCCTCCTACGCTTTCTCTGTGCTTCGGTTTGATGATATGGGGAGCATCCATCAACAAGTTGTGTCATTTGTGAAAAGAGTGCCTCGACAACAGCCAAAACTAAAACCACAGAATGGTCTAGGTAAGGCTATCTATCTATCTATCTTGTTTCATTATTATATAAGTTATATAACTCTGAGCAAAATCCATGTGTCTGTCAAAGTTTCTGCAGATCAAACTGAATCAATTCAGCGTGATGTAGTATTTTTACTGGATTCCTCGGATGAAATGCAAAATGATTTTAAAGCAATGCTTGGCTTTGTTGAGAGAGTTGTGGAGAAACTCAATGTGGATGAGAACAAAGATCGCGTTTCAGTGGTTCAGTACAGCAGAGATCCAGCTGTTGATTTTCTTCTGAACACATTTAAGACACAGCAGGATGTTGCTCGCAATGTGGGAATTCTGACGCATAAAGGAGGCAGACCCCTCAACACCGGGGCAGCTCTCCAGTATGTCAAAGATAATGTTTTTACAGTCTCTTCTGGAAGTAGGCACCAAAAGGGTGTCCCTCAGATTTTGGTTCTATTAACTGGCGGGCGGTCCAGTGATGATGTCAGAAATGCTGTACAAAACTTGAAAGGAATTGGTGTGATGGTATTTGTGGTGGGAACAAAGAATGCAGATACCCTTGAGATTCAGTCTATGTCACAGGAAGCCAGTCATGCTTTCTTTGCAGCAGACTCCAGTGATCTGTCAGACATAGAACAACAAGTATTTTCTGCCATCACAAAGGGTGAAACCCCTGCTATTAAACAAGAATCATATGGTAAGACTGTAATGACTGTATTTACTTAATGTTGTACATAGCATGTGGAACTTCATGAATTGTCAGATTAATTAATGAATGATTGATAGTAAGAGACTGAACATTTGCAGGAATTACACAAATTACACAATAATCCAACTAATTTGTTTAAATGCCTGTGTGATTACAGATCCCAACAGAAGAGATATTGTTTTTTTGCTTGATGGTTCTGATGATTCACAGCGAAGATTCACAGATATTAAAGACTTTGTACAGAGAATAGTGATGGACCTAAACATTGGTGCAAATAAAGATCATGTGGCTGTGGTCCAATACAGCAACACAGCAGAGGTTAATTTTAACCTGAGCCGTTACTCAACAGAGAATGATGTTCTTGATGCTATTAGAGGCCTAAGTCACAAAGGAGGTTATCCTCACAACATTGGAGCGGCTCTCCAGTATATGAGGGAACATGTATTTACTTCTGACTCAGGAAGTAGATTCCTTGAGGGAGTTCCACAGATACTCATACTACTGAGTGGTGGAAGATCTGGAGATGACATAAGAACACCGGTCAGAATGCTGAAAGAGATTGGTGTCATTTCAATTGCCATTGGAACAACTGATGCTGACACCATAGAGCTGCAGACAATATCTCATGAACCCAATTATGCACTATCAATTACTGATTATGAGGAACTTCCTACTGCAAAACAGGATGTTTTTTCATTGTTAAAAGAGGCTTCCCATCATGTAGAGCAAACTACTCCCACAAAGGATTTAGGTAAGATTTGTATTTAGGCCAATGACTGAATCTTAGGGGACTGTCACTGTGGCTGCTGTACCTGAAAATCACATTGCCTTTGTTTCTACATGTTTTGTCTTTGTTGCAGATTCTAAGAAACAAGATGTAGTATTTCTTATTGATGGATCATATGACTCACGAAATGGCTTTGAAGACATACGACGCTTTGTTCAAAAAATTGTTGGAAATTTAAATATAGGTGAGAACAGAGACCAAGTGGCTGTTGTTCAATACAGCCGTGATGCCACAGTCAATTTCTACTTGAATTCCTATTCATCCAAGAATGATGTGCTCAATTCCATTGGAACAATGAGGCATAAGTTGGGAAGACCCCTCAACATTGGCAAAGCACTTGAGTTTGTCAGAGAAAATGTCTTTGCTGCTACAGTTGGAGGCAGACGTGCAGAAACAGTCCCTCAATATCTGTATGTATTTAGCGGTGGGAGATCAGGAGATGATGTCAGAGGACCAGCACAGTCCCTCAAAGAAAATGGAATAAAGACTTTTAGTATTGGAACAAG